ATTCTTCATAGTAGCTGGTATGGGGCTTTGTTTTGGATTTGTACCTCAAAATAGTGTTGATCATCCTAGAATGGTTTGGATTGCAAGGGACCTTAAGGATCATCTAGTTCCAACCCCCTGCCATGGGCAGGGACACCTCCCACCAGACCAGCTTGCTCAGAGTCCCATCCAACCTGGCCTTGAACACTTCCAGGGAATGGAGCAGCCACAGCTTCTCTGGGCAACCTGTGCCTGTGAACACCAAGCTGCTTTTGTTATTGCTGAGCAGCGCTCACATGGAGCCAAAGCTTTTGCTGCTCCCCACAGACCCCAGCAGTGAGGGGGCTGGAGGTGTACAAGGAGCTGGCAAGGGACACAGGCAGGACAGCTGACCCCAAATGACCCAAGGGATGTCCAGCCCATAGGGTGCCATGATCAGCATGTAAAGTTGGGCTAGAAGAAAGACTAGAACATTGGTAACCATGGCATTTGTCCCCCCAAGCCACCCTTACACGTGATGGAGCCCTGCTGTCCTGGAGCTGAGCACCTGCCAGCCCATGGCAAGTGGTGAACAAATTCCTCATTTTGCTTTCCTTAATAAACTGCCTCTCTCAGCCCACTGGTTGGGTCACTTTTATCCTTCCAATTCTCTCCCCCATCCCACCAGGGGACACTGAGTGAGTGGCTGCATGCGGCTGAGCTTCCAACTGGGGTTAAATCACAGCAGTTGCTTTTTAATAAAACCTACAAAAAACAACTTACTTCTGCAGGCATAGCAACTAGCAAATTCTGTGAGTTAACACTGTCACCATCTTGACAGACACTCAACTTTACTTCTTCCTAAGACATTCAAGAGTGTCAAAACTGCAACTCTAGTCACAACATTGTACTTAAAGCAAGAATGAGCACTCATAAATGCAAGGTAATTATTCTTCATAAAATAAAATCTTCACCAGATAACTATAGTTCATATTACTTTTTTTGAATGGTTGCAACTTTTAAATGAGCCACCAGCCAGAAAAATCAAGCTATTTTATCACAGAGCTTTTATAAGTAGCAGACTGTTTGCAGATCTATCAGTTTATCCCACTATTCTGTATCTCAGTATTCCACAATACTGAGGGGTGAAATCAACACTATACATTCTTACTTTCCCAATCAAGTATGTTTTACATTACCCACTAAATCCCATCTGTGTACAGTTGGTTAAAGAATCTAATGTGCAACTAATACAGGTTATTTTGATATCTCAATCAGTCAGACTATTATTGAAAACTATTCACACCTGAGCATTGCTGTCCTTACTATTTGCCTTGAAATTCTCAGTTAAGCAGAAGTAATACAGCAAAGTTCAAGCACTGTCTATGTGATAACAAAATTCTCAAAAGCCTGTAAGAAATAACTGATAGCTTCCTAGCTGTCAGCATCTGCTCAACATCCCTTCCTGTGGGGAAAGGTTATACCTTGCTGCCTTAATAATGAGCAAGTACTTTGTTCTAATTGTTAACAGGAAAGAAAATATGACTGTTATACAACTGCTGAACAACATCCAAACTTAAGCTCCTTGTTCTCCTTAGGGATCCTTATATAAAGGAAATAACTTCTGCTGGCATCTCCCAAGAGTAACTCTTTAGACAAGACAATATAGGCCATGCTTAAAAAAAAAACCAAAAAAACAAAAAAACAAACAAACAACAAAAACAACCAAACAAAACCCCCACATTTTTAAACTGCTGAGCATCAAAACATTTTCAAAGATAATTAAGGAAACCCTCAAACTACTGATTCCCTTACTTGATTGCAAAAGTGACATGAAGAGGAGTTACAAATAGGTTTTATGTCACAGTTCAGATTTAAAACTTGCTCCAGTTTCTAAAAAATTCAGGAGAAAGAGCCCAACACTTTGAGGTTCCATAGACATTTCTTTCAATTTTACAATGCCACTGCAAATCCACTGTCAAGCAAAGCTGGTATCAAAAGTGAAACTAACTGTACATTGCAAATGAAATCAAAATCCTTTTGCATTCCAAGGAAAACTACATACAGTTGTAAATTACAGATATTCAGCAATAAAAGAACCCCTTCAGTTTTCCATCAGTGTTTAGCAACTTTATGACTTGTACCCTTAAAAACACCACCTTGAGGGCTACCTGAAGCAAAAATCAGTAGAGAAACATAGTCACTGCAGCCATTTTCCCAAAAATGTAAAACACACCAGCAATAATGTGTACCATAGCCCAAGACCACAGACCAAGCCCAACAAGTTGGTTTCATCAAAGGAAAAGATACCAAGACACCCACCAACTACCAGACAAAACATCAAGAATTATCCAAGTTTGTTTTTCACACCTCCACTCTTTCTTTTACAGAGATGAGAATTATCTCTACAGTTACATCAGCTACACCAGGCAGAAGCAAAGAACCCCAGTACTTCAGACATGACATTTTCAGAAGCTGCATCTGCTCCCATTTGGGGGGACTGTTCTAAAACAGGGAAAATAACCTGCCCCTTGCCAAACAGGAAGGGCGATACAAAGAAAAGTTTAAACATTTGACAAGTGTCAAATCAAGCCATGAAGTAAACTCCATAACAGAAGTAATTTGAAATCTTTTTAGAAAAGAGTCATGCAGGAAACACCACCATGTTGACAACCCCCATCATGCAACTAAAAGTCATCAGAAATTATGGTGTTTGAGGGTTTTTTTAATGCATATTATATATGCATAATAATAAGCATATTTTTAATAATATGCATATTTTTAAAACAGAGGCCACTATCTCACCCTTTCAGTTTAATTTATTTTGCAGTTCACACAACTAAATTACTTTTACATATCCACTCCATGCAACACAATAAGAACATTAAGTTTTCTTTGCGAACACCACTTTAAAATTACTGTTTTCACTAAAAATTCAAACTTTTAAATGTGTTGGTGGTTTTTATTAATAAGTTTTGCAACAATTTAAGAAAACAACATTTTTTCTAAGCGGTTTCTCAAAAACGATCCAGTCCTTTATATAACGTAAGAGGTACAGGAGTGGTGGGGAAATGAATCAAAACATAAGTTTTTCCACAAAGCTAACCCTGTTTTAAGAATTTTGTAGATTTCAGCTGTCGCTTTCATATTGACAGACAACACGAGGAGGAAACATATTAATTATATTTCATTCTGTTTCAACCGCGGCTGCCGTGAATTCACAGACAGGACACCTGCACTTAGCAAAATACAACTTCCTTCCTACGAGGAAAGGCCTACACGCCGATTTAAGCACATAACCCCCGTTCCCCGCCGCAGGCAGGGTGGGCTCGGTGGGGAAGGAGGCGAGGGCGAGCGCGTTTTGGGAGAGCAGGGGCTGCCGGAGCAGGAGCAGCCCCGAGCCGGCTCCTCCAGCAGCAGGAAGTTTCCAAGGGGCCGCGCCGAGCATGCGCCGTGCGCCGCACGGGCTCCCTATGTGGCAAGAGTGCAGAGGCAACAACCGAACGAATAACAGAGACAAGAGATCAAGAGCAACAAGCTCCCTCCCCTCTGTATTCCTGCGGCCGCCTCCACACAGCCCTCCTTGCCCAGGCTGCTCTCTCGGCCCGGGCCCTCCCGCATCCATCGCGGGCAGCTGGGATTAGAGAGTCTGGCAGCCAAAGCTGCTCCTGGAGAGGGAGGAGAGGAGAGCGAGAGCAGCTCGGAAGCAAACAGCGGAGTGCATAACCTGCGCCTCCAGCTCGCACGTCTCAGGTGGCGGCGGGGGAGCGGCAGCGAGCACACAGCTTGTCCCCCCCGCAACTGGAAGAGGGGATGGGGGAGGAGGAGGGGGGAGAAGAGAGGAATGGAGGTGGCACACAATGGCTGGCTGTGTGTGTGGGGAGGAGACGGCCCACAACAGCAGCCGTGGGGGGGCTCAGGGGTTCTCCGTGACCCCCATTCCTCATCCCAGATATAGCGAGGTGAAAGGGGGGGGGGGGGGTTCACTGGGGACCGGGACATTCCCATGTGTTTGCACATGTGTGTGCGTGCGTGCCCTTCTTGTTTCGGGGGAGAGGTAAAAACGGGCAGAGATATTGGGGGGAGGGGGGGAAGAGGCTGTGAAGCACCCCCCCAAGCTGTGGGGAAGGGAGGAAGGGAGGAGGTGGAAGAGAGACCGGCTACCAGCGCCAAGCTGAACGAAAATAGTTATTTCGTCTTATGCCTGTTTTCTGCAAGGAGTCCCACCCGCACAGAGCTCGGGAACGAACCCAGGGAAACGGGGGGGAGGGGGGGGGGGGAGGGAGGGACGGAGGGGGGTCACAGGCGGCACTGAGAGGGAGGAGAGGGGAAGGGGAAGTCCCCCACCTCTCTCCCGAGCCCGCCGCGGGGGCAGGCAGCTCTTCCCCCAATATATACGCACAAATAGCTGCTCCCCCCCAAAAAACAGGGAGAGAGGGCTCCCCTCCCCCCGGGAATCCCAGGCCCCTCCTCTCCCTCGGCGCGCTCCACCCCCGGGGCCGGGAGGAGGCGGGGGGGGGACAGCCCCGGCCCCCCCTCCGCCCCCCGGGCCCCCCTCAGCCGGCCGCCCCGGAGCGGGCCGGCGGGAGAGCTATGGGAGTCGCTTACCCTGGTCTCCGGGCTCCTGCGGCGGTTGCAGGACGCGCTCCAGCTCAGGGAAGGGCAGCTCGGGCAGGTCCAGCAGGGCCCCGTAGCGCTCAAGGAAGGAGCAGACAACGGCGAAGTTGGGCCAGGAGCCCGGGCAGCGCGGGCCCGCCGGGGCAGGGGGCGGCGGGGATGGGGCCGGAGGAGCCGCCGCCGCCGCCGCCGCCATCTTGGACCTGGGGATGGAGAAGGAGCTGGGGAGGGGGAGGGAGGAGGGGGCGCTGCCGGGCCGGGCCGCCACTATCCCACAATGCACCGGGGGGACGATGAAGGCAGGGGAGGGCAGGGGGCGGCGGCCAGAGCGGTGCGAGCCGGCTCCCCTCCGCCGCGCGCGGCGAGGGGGAATGAAAACAAGGCGGGGCAGGGGCGGGGATAGACCCATGGACCGACCAATCGGAATGTGCGGAGGGCGGGGCCGACAAAAAACGCTGTCCAATGAGAGCGTGGCAGCCTGGAGGTCCCGCCCCCTCCCCGCGGGGCCGGGCGGAGGCGGAGCCTGGCGGGGCCGTGGGGTCGCGCGCGAGGGGCGGTGAGTGCGGGCGCGTGACGGAGCCTCCGTGGGGGGAGCGGGCGGGAGCGCGAGGCCGGCGCCGGGGCTGCCCCGGTCCTGACCCGGTCCCTGTGCCCCTCACGCCAGGCCGTGCTTCGGGCGGTCCTCAACTGCGCCTTCCCTTCCCAACTCCCGTCTCCACCCCTCCCGCGGTGCTTCTCAGCGGTCTCTGTCCTTATCTCCTTGCTTCTCTCCGCTGTATTCACCAAGTGCTATTCCCCCTCTTCTCTTAGTGCCAGCTCCCCGTGAGCTCTCCGGTTAACTGCCGTCACAAGGCTCCCTAGCGAAAAGGAATTGCCAAATTCCCAAAGTGTGTTTTCCTCCTTCGTGAACTTGACACCTTCCCCCTCCCTACACAGTTGATCTAAAGTTCTCCCGTCCTTTCTGTTTGCCTCCCTCCTGTCAGTTTTTAATCCTGACCTTCCTCTGGCTGCTGCATCCCCTGGAATGGGAAGTCGCCCTCCTCCTGACCCTGCTCCCAAGGCAGCGCTGGAGAGCCACGTTGCCTTCTGACACCTTACAGGAATTTGTTCTGCCCAAAACTTCACGCACACCCATTTACTCTTCCCCTTGTATCCTCTTCAGTCTCAGGTTGCCCATTGGATTTTACAAAACTTCCTTTCTTTCTGCAGCATCTTAAAATGTCCTCGGGTGCACTGCTCTCGTTCACCTCTTTGTTCCATTTGTTGCTGGTTACCTCCGCAGAAGAAAGGTGCACTGGCAATCTTAAAGTCCACCAGCTTGCCCAGCTGCAATTCAATCTCAGCTTGCTTCCGCTTCCTTCTCAGCTGCTTTTGTCTTCTGCCATCCTAATCCAGCGCTTCATTTCTCTCTTTCAGTATAGCCTCCTGGCATAAACGTGCATTTTGCCTCCTTTTAAGTTCTACTTCCTTTATTTCTGATGTTTTTAAACTCTCATGACTTTGCTTGTGGAGTCCTTAGCCATTTCTGCTCCTCATCTCTTTGTGTTTGGACTACTGCAGTTTGCAGAAATTGCAATTTTAGGTTGTACTTGCAAGTCAGTGAACTCAAGGTCTCTTGATCTTAAGTGTTAATGTATATTTTGATACTTTACATTTCTCACAGTGAATAATTAAAAAAATAATTTGTTTGAGAGCTATTTTCCTGCTCCTCAGTGATTGGAGCATGCTCTACATCCAAGGATGCCCAAAGTTCCTATCAATGAGTTCATTCCCACTCTAAGATATTCTTATTTATTCTAGTGGTCTCACCTTACTGATAATCTCTGGCAGTATTATGGGAAATGGTTTTAGAGGATAAATTTTTATTTGTGCCTTTTAAGTTGTGTTGCTTCATTTCTGCTATTTACTTGTTTTTATGCTGTTTGGAAAAGGTAGCATGGAATCCTTGCTCTCCCATTTGCAGTTTATGCCTGTTTCATTGCACAGTTCCAGCCTTATGATACTGTTTGGACTGGGGAATGTAATATTCCTGATCATCTTATTGTTCATTCACCTCTGTCTAACCTCCAGGTCTAATTCTACCATTTCATCTGAAAAGTAGCACAGGCAAAAATTATTTTTATTCTTCAGAGCCAGGTTCTGGCTGCTTTATTCAGCCTTTACTCTTCCATTTCATTCTGTTGGGACTACTGCTGGTTATTTCTTCAGCTGGAATATCCCTTCAGGCAGACCTTTAGAAAAATAATCTTACAAATCTTTGCTTGAATCCATTGCATTGTGGATGTGCGATGAGAGAATCTAGAGTGAATTAATACGAGCAAGTTTCAGTCCCCTGTAGGTGCTTGCCTTGCTTCCTGTTTGAAAGGACACATGTGCCACTAACTCCACACAGGAGTGAGAAGGAAAAGAATTGCCCCACCTCTGGCAGACCAGTCCTGTGCTGAATCCAAAGTAATGCACTTTTTCCTTCATGCAGTGTTTCAGGTGGGATACTGAGATCTGCTTCTGGCAATCCAAGGAGAGCACGTCCTGTCTGGCAGTGCTGCATCTTTTGTAGCTCGTGCAAGACAGGAAGGGAGGCTTCCAGGAGGACTGGAAGCGTGGTCATCCAAAGATTTATCTTTTGCAAGGGCAGTGTCTTTAATCTGTGCTGCCAGGGTTCATGTAATTAATTCAAACTATTCAATTCTTGGTGAATGTAAACAATTAAACAATAAAGGGTGAGAATCTGTGTATCTGGAAGGATCTGCTACAGAGATGTTCTGGATTAGGCAGAGATGGACCTTTTTTACTGGAGAAACATCAAGTTTTCTTCAAAATGTGGATTTCAGCCATGTGAATTGGAAGGGCAGAAAGGTGACTCTGCCCTGGAGAGGTGTCAGTGGACTGCCACGCTAGTCCAAAGCATTTCCAGGGGATCATCACCCTGTGATTCCTCTCTTTGCATCCAGTGCCAGAATCACCACAGCAATCAGACTGCAGTCCCTGAGGGACTCTGAGGAGGGGAAGGTTTCTGTGGGGAGCTGACAGGGAGTTTGTGAGGCAGGGTCCCTGCCCTGCTGGTGCCCAGCAGTGGTTGTGGAAGCAGATCCCGACATCGCTGCAGCGCTCACCAAAAAGCAGCTGGGATACAGGGGCACTGATAAGGCTCTGGCAAGTTCCAGGCAACAGACATCAAAGGAAGATGTGTACCAGTGGTTGGCTGCTACAGGAGAAAGGAAGAAAATAAGCAGAGACTTAGAAAAAATGACTGAGGGGATATTTATTTAATCTAAATGAAAGAAAAGAAAAATACCGTGTGAAATCATCAAGAAAACAAACAAAACAAAAAAAAAAAGGTGAAAAAGACAAAGATTAAGCTGTTCTACTTGTCCCCAATAGAAAGGATTAGAAATAATGGATTTAAATTGAAACAATGAAGATGGAAGTCAAACAATTAGACAAGTTTTTATTTGGATGTATAATCCTGGGAGACTTGGTCTCTGTCAGCAGTGTCTGGGGAAAGCCTGACCCCTTTACACCCCTGAAAGTCTTGTTTTCTGTAGCAATGTGACAGTGACACTCTTTGGTTCATGGCTTTACTGTTGGGTTTGGGTTTGTTTGGCATTTCCTTTTAACCTCATTTACTACTTTAATGGTAAAAGAAGAAAGTGGCCAATGAAATAGTGCAGATTTATGGTATTTTAGGAAATTATTATCATCCTTATTGTTCATTTTGGGGAGAAGATTAAAACCCAGATGTGAGAGGATATTCTGGGACCTGATCCCTGTTGATAGTTTTAAAAGTTGAACATCCAACACTCAAACAGATTTAGCACACAAAATGATTTGCCCAAAATCCTGCACAAAATCCCCAAGAGGACTGGTAATTCAACAGATCTGCTGATCCTCAGTTCAAGTCTGTTGTCACAAAACCACGTGGATAAAGTCTGTAACAGCATTTCCTTCCTCGCTCCTTGGGGCGAGGACAGAATTTTCTGTTTTTATTAACGTGCTGCATATGCTGGCCTGATGTTAAGTATTAAATATCCTTTTTCCAGACTTCAGTTCCACTTTGTGATGTCTTCCCCTGAAATTGCTTCCCTTTCTTGGGGTCAGATGAAGGTGAAGGGCTGCTCTACAACGTATAAGGACTGCAAAGTATGGCCGGGAGGAAGCCGGACATGGGATTGGCGAGAAACCGGGACTGATGTAAGTTTGCTGGTTAGTACCCTGCATTTAAAACAGGACTCAGAATGGTCCAGAGAACAGTGTTAAAACTCCAGCCAGAAATTCAGTGAGCTGCCTTTTTCTTTCATTAACCATTAGATTTTCCTGATAAGAACTGAGTATATGTTTTGGAGGTGACTTGTGGAGGGGTCAGAGGGCTGCAGTCCCACTGTGTCCTACACGCAACAGGATATAGCAATTGTTGCCCTGAGCTCTGACAGCCACCCTCATCAGGCAACTCTCACACACCTTAGAGCTCTCAAAAAATATTCCTCATCTGTCTAAGAGTGCAGTTTTCATAAGATAACAGTAACAACCTTTCCTCAGACTGTCGAAACAGAAGTTATCTTGAGTGAGATAGGAAAAGAAATTATGAAAAGTAAAAAAAAAAAAAAATAGACAGTAACTGACCTTGCGTGTTTGGAAGACAACATTGCATATGGTTTAGTTTTTATCCTTTTCCTTGGGGTCCCTTGTACATATTTCAGAGGAGAAATATGCAGATACAGTGTCTCATGCACTATTTTCTCTGTGAAAAGCTCATGGTCTGGCTAATCACACAGTGGCTTCTCTTGGTAGCCATATGCTAAGTGCTTGCCCTTAAAGTTGATCTGTAAATGCAATCAGAATTGGAAGGAAGTGCATGGAGCAGTATTGATGTTTCTGATTTAGAAGCAGTATAGCAAATATTGCTATGATGGGAACTTGATGTTGATAATTCTCCCCATATTAGGACTTGCACTGGGATAGATTACTGGTTAGGGAAAAAGAAGTTCCACACTTTCAAAGCAAAAGTTAAAGCACAAAACAACAATGTAGTGACCAGGCCCAGCACCTGCAGCTGGGATGTATATCCGTGCAGAGGATGCAGCTCTCTTGGATTCATTTTGACACAACTGAAACACAAAGCATTTGGGTTTGCAACTTCATCTGTAATCTTTGGGAGAATAGAATTTTTTTAACCTGTCAGAGTTCAGTTTATGCAGAATATATAACACCAAGAGAAAGGTGTTGTCATGCAAAGATATCTGCACCTTGCAGAGAAAAAGGTAGCTGTGTATGTAACCTTTTAAAATGTATTTCATTTATGGCCTGCTTATTTAAAAATAAGTTTTCACTGGCTGTTCAAAGGGCTGGGTTTTGTGGGAGAGTTGCTGTCTGCTTGTTTGACAGTATCATTTTTGTGCTTTATATGCACATGGCTGGAGAAGCAGAACAGGTAACAATAGCCAAAAAGTTCCCAACTAGTTCCCATCTCAACCACATTTTTATATTTATTCAAACCACTGGAAAACGTTGGTTTCAAATTATAGGCACTTACGAACATTTAGGAGGCTGTGCTTTCTTTTGAAAGTTTCTAACAAGGAATATCTTCTTGTCACAAGTAAAACATTTAAATCCATAAGTTTTTAGAGGACTTGAAAAACAATGTTAATTTAACAATGTTAAATTAAAAATGGAGGAGAAAAAGAATAGTTGGGTTCTCTGGAGAAGTAGGTTTTCTGGCATCCTTTTTATTTAATCAGGAAGTAAAAAGTACATATCTAAAGTAAGCCTTATGTAAGTCACTTGTAAAGCTCCTGCTTTAGGTCAGTTCTATCCTTGCAGCTGAGGAATGAAGTGATTTTCTTTTAAAAGAAATAGCAAAAAACAAATATTAAGAATAGAACTAAGCTTTTTCTAGACTGCATCTCCAATGTTGAGAAGAACTGTCAAAAATTTAATTTTGCCAGCACTGGAAACTGTGAGATTCATCAGCTGCATTTTCTGCCCAGTTTTTTAAAGATGAAGTTGTTTGCCTACTTTCCTTAAGCATGTTTTTCCTGGAGGTAGCTGGAACTGAAGTGTGGAAAACAAGCAGTGCTGGTCATGTCCTGCACTCTAGTTGGAAATAAATTGCTTCCTTTCCTCCTCTGCTGTCACACTGCTGTCTAGTGAAGCATTTTTTCATCAGGAAAATTGTATGACTGGCCCTGCAAGGTTCTGTAACTGGGCACTAACAGTTATTGTTACCCTTGGGGATGAATGGCACCCTCTCTCCCTGGCTGGCTGCATTTCAGTGCCATCTGCTAATGGCAGGAGAAAAGACATAGGTATTGCTGAAATGAAGGCCAGAGAACAGAGCAGGCAAGAAAATCTGCTGTCAAATCAACAATGATACAGTTATTTCATCATGTTACATGTTTCCTGTAGCAACAGTAGTTTCTTACTAGCATCAAAGTGTCCTGTGTAACCAAAGAAAATCCTTTTGTTCCGCGGCTTTAAGGTCTCAGGAGAGCTTCTCACGTGACAGCAAACCTTCTCCAGAATTCTAATTATTGTAATTGCAGTAAAACACACCAATTCTTCTTGTCTAAGTTTTGAGTCTACTTAAAAACCCCAAAGGAAAAGCATTGCCTATTCTGTCATAAACAAGTACTTAGAGTGATGTGGTCTGAGAAGGCTCTGCCTATTCAAGTGAGTTCTGCATTCCAGGTGTGGGTATGGAATGTAAATGGACTAAGGGGAACACAGCCCATGGTCCTGGCAGCCCAAAGGGCCAGACATGTCCTGGAGTGTGTCAAGCACAGCACACTGAGGGACGTGCTTGTCCCACTCTGCTCTGCGCTGCAGCAGCCCCACCTCGAGTTCTGTGTGCAGTTTTGGGCACCTCCTCAGCCTAAGGAGGACATCAGACTGTTAGACTGTGTTCCAAGGAGGGTGATGAAGGTGCTGAAAGGCCTTGAGGGCAAGGCTTATGAGGAGCAGCTGAGGGCATTTGGCTTGTTCATCTTGGAGAAGAGGAAGCTGAGGGGTGACCTCATCACAGTGTACACTTTCCAGAGGCAGGGCAGTGCAGGCAAGGTGCTGATCTCTCTGGTGACCAGCAGTAGGACCCATGGAAATGGAGTCAAGCTGCAAGGGGACGTTCAGATGGGGTGTCAGGAGGAGGCTTTCCACCCAGAGGATGCTCGGGCTCTGGAACAGGCTCTGCCACGGGATGTGGTTATAGAGCAAGCTTGTCAGAGTTCCAGAAGCATCTGGATGGTGCTCTTAAGTCGTGGCTTAGCTTAAGATGGTCCTGTGAATGATTCTCATGGATCCCTTCCAACTTGAGGTGTTCTAGGATTCTGTGAACTTGGAGAACCATAAAGGTGAATCATCTCTGTTACTGAAATTTCAGACATCAGCCATGCTGAAGACTTTCCTGTGGAATAAGTTTATTTTATGCATTGGAAGTGGCACTCTACAGTGCAAGGCTTTTTTCACCTGCAGCTTTAGGAGCTCATGTGTTTGTTTTAGCTGGGAAAGTCTTACTTGCCCCATTCTCCATGAGTCCACCATGGCATTAGCTGCTTCAAGTGAGAAACTCAGACCTCTCAAAAACTTCTGAACTTCAGAATTCTACTTAAAATAAAAAGGAGGGTTATTATTTAAAACATAATTAATATTTATAATATTTATAATAATATTATACTAATAAATATCATTGCCTATTATTATATAAAATATTAATTATAATATTTTATATAATTATACATAAGCTAATAAAATAATATGTTATTATATAAAATAATAAATAGTAATATTATTTCTTATAATAATATTTAAATATTTCTTTAAACATAAATAATATTTATGTTTTAAAAATACACACCAAAGAGGGGCCAAATTATAGCCACAGGATGTCCAGTATCTTACTCTTGACCACATGGAGACAGATAGAAACTGAATCCAGGAGGAGAATTAGGGTAACATAATAATGTTTTATATTAGCATTATAGGTGTGTTATACATTCATATGTTTAAAGCATAATAGCAGTAAGTGGGTGTACTTTTTAAAACATCTGTTAATGTGCTGTGTAAGTTCCTTCTTTCTCTGAGGCATTTGGATTCAAATATTCTGTTCTCAAAATAAAGAATAGTGCAGAAATCCAAGCTGTTAACTGAAATTAAGCTACCCAATAAATTTCAGTCCTCTTTAGTGAGATTTGCAAAGTAAACAAGAAAATTACTTAATAATTTTAATTATCTGAGGAGTTCTTTGTATTTAAAGTGAGGAAACTTTGGCTTGCAACCATCTTTCTTTCAAGTAGGTTTTGTTATTTTGAAATCAAACAACAGTATTGTTGCAATTTATTGATTTCACCTTAATTGTTAATATTTATAAAATGCCAGAAGTTAAGACATAAAAGTTTAAGAAATTTGTAATGCATCTTTTTAGTTTTATTTAATAAGGAATTATAATCCTGCCATCAATCAAATAATTATCATCCTTCATCTGCATATTAAATACCTTTTTCAATTTCTAATGTTATCTACTGTGTGTATGTACAGAAGAGAGTTGTGTTACATTCTGGTTCTGTTAATTTACCCTGCTGCTGTGTGTTCAGGACACACAGACACAGCTTTCCTGCCTGATGCTGTCAGTACACAGACTATTATTTTCCTTCCCTGACACTTAGCATTCTCCAGGAGTGCAGCCAGCTGACCTTGAAGAAGTTGTCAAGAAGGGAGTTAAAACTGTGGTGATTGGTCGTGGCATGAGTGAGGCTTTGCAGGTAGGTTTTTGTGCTGTGACAAGCATAAAGAGAACTGTTTGTTTTCCCTCTCCCTCTGATTAGGAGGAAAAAAATTAAATCGATGATGCTTCACTGAGGGAAAAAGATTGAGGTTCAGTGTGAATGAGCTCCTGTCAGGGGTCCCTCAGGTCCTGAAAAAAACATCATTTGAGCTCCTCTGTATTAGTGTCCATGCCAAGCAGTAAACAGGTTTATGTTCTGCTACAGGAGCAAATGAAACAAGAAGAATTTTTCAGAATGTCATTAGTCCCCTCCTCTTGCAATAGGTTATAACTGGCTCTCTAGCCTGCTGTAAATACCTTGGTAATTAGGCATTCTTGTCACAATTGTTGCCAGGGTGTCATTTCAGCAGATAAACTAGCTACAGAAAGCTCAGATCAGAAGTGCTGAGCTTTACTTGGTGAGAAGCAAGTCTTTAGCTTTCTGGTGGGATGAATAACAACTTCTTTAGATTAAATTCCTTTAGCTCCAATTCTATTTATTTTTGTTAGAGAGGACCACATTTTAAAGTGTGCTAAGGAGGTACGGGAGCTATGTGTATAAAAGTAGCTTTATTGAAGAGAAAAAAAATTAAATCAATCTTAGACCTATCTGAGCATTGTCATTTTGGCTACTGGCAGTGACTTAAGTCATGTTTAACAAATGGTATCAGTGTCTGGTTTTCTTACAGTTTAAGGGGAAAATAATCTGATTCTTGCTTTTGTGATTTCTTTTCTCTTCCGAGGTTCCAGCATCCACTGTGGACTATCTGAAGAGGAACGGGATTGAGGTGCTGGTGCTGCAAACGGAGAAGGCAGTGGCGGAGTACAATGCCCTGGCAGCTCAGGGTGTCAGAGTGGGCGGGGTCTTCCATTCCACCTGCTGAAGCGCAGCCCATTCCGCCTGCCCGGCCCGCGGCCAAATCACCGACACACCTCTGCTGGATCAAATTGCACTCAGCGGAGGGTGAGCTCGCGTGCCAAGGCATTTGTGCGCTGACCATCGAAAATGCAAAGACAGTTTATTAGCTCAGGATTTAAACAAATCGAAGGCTCACAAAAGGCGGGGCTGTTAATGTAATTAAATCGTTTAATTACACAATAATTTCCATGTGTTGTTGAGATTGACATAATTTTCCTCTGAAGGCCATCCATAGTCTTGTTACTTAACATATCACCTGTTCACTAAATCAGGAAATTATATTTTGAATACTTTTATTACATTACTGGCTACTGGAATGCAGCCATAAAATAGCTGATGAGCACAATCAAATGGTAGATATGAAGTGGTGGTAAAGAAGCACTTTACCAGCACTGGATAAATAAGTTAAAAATAAAATAAATTAAAAAGCAAACCCATAACATAGAACTTTACCTCCTGCAGGTGACCTCAGTCAGGGTATTTGCCAATTTATGAACATCACATAATAGAGCACTTTTAAATTTTTCATTGGGCCTGAAAAAGGAGAAAAAATGTCAGCAGGGTATAAGCATAAAACCTGGGCCTTAAAGAATTTTCTTATTAACTGCCAGTTTTGAGGATTGAGCTGTCTAATACATATCTATTCAGAAGTTCTTACACGCTTAAAATAATCAGAAACATGAGTTACAAAGCTAGAGTTTGCAGCATAAAACATTGATATGTAGAAAATTAGTCTGAATTGCTGCTAGCAAGGTACTGCTGGCAAGCTGGGGATGCATGTGAGACTTGTTACTGGTCATCATTATCTGATGATTTAAATGTTGTGCCAACAAACATTATTAAACTGAAGATTCAAACAGTTCTCTTGGTTGCTGTTCCTGGTGGGCTTCTATCAATATTGCCAGTCACAAGTTCTACCTACTGTAGACTTTTTTTCCCACCAGGCTCACCATTTCTTGTTCTGTGCATATTAATTCTGTGTGTATTAATGAAAGTACCAAGACGAAGTTGTAAAAGCCCTGAGGCACTTGGAGCTACCCAAGCAGTAGTAGAGAGGCTTAGATTGATAGGAGTGCACAATAACTTTCCCAAGGCACGCAAAATACTATGTTCTTTTTCTGCTATTTGCTCTAGTAATCATTTAGAACCTTTTATCTGATAAAATACAGAGTGATGTAAAGGCAAAGGGAAAGTGAAAGTTTTATCTTGCAGTCTCCTAATGACAGCAATGTTTTCTGCTAGTGCAGCTACATTTGAGGGAAAATCTTACATAACCCAGCAGGAACTGCCTTTCCAGCTGCATCTGTGTTGTCTGACACAGCAGCTGGTATAATGCTCATTGTAGCTGCTGTGACATTTTTCTGCACAACTTGCCTGGTGTGAAGGAGGAGGTGAACTACTGACCCAGAAGACTGTGGTCACCCCGAGGGAACGCCAGCAGAACGAGTTCCTACCAGCCCACAGAGTGTGGAGACTTTTTGCACTAAATGTTATCTGATACTGAAGGTTTGACTTTCTTGATCATGGTCATGTATTTGTTTTATTTTAGGAGCTTCTGGGCCTTAAGGCAGCCTCAAATGGGAAGAGGCTTGGTAATGCTTTGGCTGAGAAAACACTGCAGTACTTAAAAAAATGGAACCATGCGCATTACACCGTTAGGAGAAGATGAGCAAACACCTTATCTTTCTCTTCCAGGTCTGTTTTTTACTTTTTTTTTTTGTAACATTTTCACGTTAATGTGGCACATTATTGGTGATGCCACATTCACCAAAACTGCTTAGCTGAGGTCCTGCATTTGAGACAAATACTGTGGGCTCCTCACCCTGCTGCTGCCACACGATCTGTCCTCCCAAAAGGCACACAGGGAGCAGAGCTTGTTTTGCATTACCAGCTGACTGAGGTGTACCCTACCCAGCTTTGTGCTGCAGCCTCTTAATTCTTCCCTTCATTTGGCAACTGGTAGGATGCAGAAGATTCCACTTCCAAAACAGGGAGCTGCAGTGTGCAAAGAAATGGATTTATTTTTTTAAAGGTAAACTGCTAAGTTTCCCCATCATCAGTACAAAATTTTGGTGTCAACAAGGAGATAATTTGCTGTAAGTTTTTTCATCCATGTCTTCTCTTGCTGCTCTCGTCACAGCTTCCTGAGTCAGCACTGTCAGTTCCCACAATAGCATCTGTTCCACTTGGGCTGCTCCAGTCACTGAAAGCCAGATTTCCTTCGTGGTGCCTGAAATTGCTTTGCTAGATGGTGGAAGCAGCTGGGATTGATTCATCAAAAAATTCCAGCAGAGCTCAAACTGGTATCTTTGTTAAATTGCTGCTTTCAGCAAGAGCCATAAATAATTTGTTAAAATTGCGGGCTCATAGCCCAAATCATGGGAATGCACTTTTGTAGGGCAGGATTTCTCACATCCACCACTGCTCTGCCTCCCACCAGGAAAACGATCTCCCAGTAGGCAGTGAACTCCCACCCTGCCGCTGAAATGAAAGCCGAGCTGCGGCTGGGCTGGGAGCCAGGAAGATTCCACCCCAGCTGCTCTGCGCCGAGCGGGTCAGTCCCCAGCCTTTATCTTTGTCAAGCAGCATGTGTGAGCTGGCAGCCCGCAGGAACAGGCCATAAAAGGCTCACAGACACCACATGCAACGCGACCGGCATTTTTAAGGGACATTGGGCAGCATTTGTGCAAAGCCCGGCATCCGCAAGCCTTAAAACTTTATATTTTGAGGTCCCACTGATGCTGCATTAGCAAACTGTAAAGTAAAAAGAACAGCTTTTCTGCATTCCCACTGCCTGTTACTAAGAATAAAATGGAAGATGCCAGTGAAATAAGATTAAAAAAGTGATTCTAACTTGGACAAGACAGGATTTCAGAGGAAATCATCTCTATGAGCTTGAACCCAAGATGATGACCAGTACAGCATGGTGGAGAGTGCAAGTCTGATGAGGAGCAGCCTGAGGGAGCTGGGGGTGTTTAGCCTGAAGAAAAGGAGGCTCAGGAGGGACCTTATTGCTCTCTACAACTGCCTGAGAGGAGATTGTTGTCAGTGGGGTGTCAGTAACAAGTGACAGGACAAGAAGAAACAGCCTTAAGTTGCACCAGAGGAGATTTAAATTGGATATTAGGAAAAAATATCTTTCCCAAAAGTGTTGCCAGGCTTTGGAACAGGCTACCCAGGCAAGTGGAAGTCATCATCCCTGGCAGTGTTCAAAAGATGTGTGGATGTGGCACTTGGGGCCACGGCTTAGTGTAGGTGTGGTAGTGCCAGGTTTATGGTTGGACTCCATGGTCTTAGAGGTTTTTTCCAATCTAAATGATTCAGTGATGTCATGCAGTCCCGATTTAAATGCATACCCTGTTCATCCATCTTCCCAAGAACTTGCTTTGTACTTTTTGCAATGAGTGTCCCTGCCCATTTACATTTTTTTGGTCCCTTCTAAAATAAGATAGGTGAAAGCCACACCAGGTCTGAGTTAACGTCTCATATAAGCTTCAACTTTGCTCCCAATACACTTATGCATTGTTTTTTGAGCTCTTGACTCAGTAATTAATTATTTACTTTCAAATTTGTAATGTAATGAATTTCACTGGACTTCAGCAATCTGGATATGAATCTCCCACTGAAAGCATTCAAAGCTGGGTTTCCCACATACACAGATGCCTCATTTAAATTAAATCCAGAAAGTTAATGGTAAATAGGACAACACATTTTCAAACCACTAACTTACCTCTCTTTCATGTGAGGTCAGAATTCTCCTTGCTCTGCCAGGTTCTTTTCCCTCTTGCTTCCATCTAACTATTAGGTACAACGCAGAGGTGAGGGGTGTTTGAACATCATTGTTTCTTAGCAAATTATTTGCCCTTCCTTTGTATATTGCTTAATCTTCCTGTGGCTGCAGCTGTACTGGCAGACTATTCCTAGCCGTGGAACCACCTGAGAGAACAGAACTCCCCATACTTGGGTGACTGTCATCTGAAGCCCTCTTCCCCCTTCAACAGGGATGAAAGATGCAAATTATCTTTGTGCATGACTAGAGCCCTTTGTTTTTCTTTTCATTCTGAGATCAATCATCTTATAGGCTATTGCAGTGCAGAAGCCCAACAATTATCCAGAATTAAAGGACAATGGGTGAATGGCATGAGTGCCTCTGAGACAACACAGAGCATGAACTCTGGTATTTTTGAGAGCAGAAAAACCTTAATGTCTCAAACCTGGGGATGGGAACAAAAAGTCAACATCTGGATCTCAGCAACTACAATAAGCCTTGCTTTTAATGCACATTTCTTATCCAATTCCCCATATGTTGGACCATGGTGCAAAATGGGCAGTCCCATACACATACACAGGCTGGGTGGAGAATGGATTGAGAGCAGCTCTGACAGGCAACACCTTGGGGGTGTTGGTGGGTGAGCAGCTCAGCATGACTCAACAACGTGCCCTGGCAGCTCAAAGGACTCATCTGCCTTTCTGGGCTGCATGTGGGCAGCAGGCCAAGGGAAGGGATTCTCCCCCTCTGCTCCACCCTGGTGAGACCCCAGCTGTAGTGCTGCATCCAGCTCTGGGGCCCCCAACACAAGCATGTTGACATGTGGAGTAAGTCCAGAGGAGACCATGAAAATGCTGAAAAGGCTGGAGCACCTCTGCTGTGGAAACAGGCTGAGAGAGTTGGGGTTGTTCACCCTGGAGAAGAGACGGCTCTGGGGAAACCTGAAACTCCTTCCAGTACCTGAAGGGGCTACCAGAGCTGGAGGGGGACTTTTGATAAGGGCATGAAGTGATAGGACAAGGCAGGGGGGGCTTTAACCTTAAAGAGGGAAGGCTTAGACTGGATGATGAATTAATCATCTGCTTGCACAGGTGAAACTGAAGGAGGATAGGAAAAGCTATGATTTCTTCCATGATCCAAACCTGGAATCAGAGAAAAACCTACAGAAGAGAAGCCAACTGCAGAATGCTCTCATTAGCAGACTGGAAATGTTCATAGCAGCCTTACATTTTCAGCTTGTTTTAGGCATCTTGAAATTACAGATGGAAGAACTTTTCCACAGCCCTGCAGTATCTGATTCTCACAGCAATACAGAAGGCACTCACTCTTTGCCTGGTATGTTACATGGAAGGGGATCAAGGACAGCATGAGGGGAACAAAATAGTAGAAATTTGATCCAGTACTTAGCAAAAGAGAGAAAGATGCCTAAATTTTGATATTGAAAATATCTGCTGTGCCTACCACAGCATCCACTGTGGTCTGGAGCCTATGGACACCATCTAAATTAGAAACACTACTGAGATGACAAACTGCACAAAATACTGGTGGAGTGCAAAAATGAGGGGAACAAAAAGGAAAAAGTCTGTAATGAGCTCACTCAACTTGTCAAATATCTGCCCAGACACAGCCTCCTAATGAGAGATACATCAACCCTGTCTGCTGGGAACTGAACTGAGGATGCCAAAGACAAGTCAGACAATAACAACTCAGCTGTCAGATGGGCAGGCAATTTTCAAAGCAGTGCCCTAAAGGTGAAACACCAAAAACCAGTTTGTAAGAGCAGAAGCACTAAGAAAGTAAATTTAATTCAAGAATACCTAAAGCAGCAGCAAAGTTTTATGGTTATGAGCCTTTGGGCTACAACTCACCAGTGCTAAAAAATTTAAATCACAAAAAACATGCAGTGATCTTAATAGCCAAGAACCATGCAGGCATCCATGTTCACTCATATTATAAAAAAAGAAACAGAATAGCAGTTTTCCAATTTTATTGTAGGAAAGCATGTAAGGGGTTATTTACACTAAATACAAGTGGAAATTATTTCTTCACTGTTTACTTTCTAAAAAAACACCTCTTTTTAAAAAGACAAAAATCCCAACTGATTCATGAACACAGGCAACATTTGGGCTGCTGCACTAGAATGCTTTACACATTAGGCCCTCCTAAAAAATCCTACCAAAGGATAAAAAATCCTACAAATCATAGGAGGCCACTCAGTCCACTAAGCCTGGCACACAGAAGCAATGCACAGACACACTTCCTGACAGGAATGCCAGATGAATCATGTTTTAACTAAATTCTTGTCCCTCTGTACTCCCAGCTCACCTCCAGAGGGGAACACTGACAAGCTGCCCAGCTGCTGCTGAACAGAGGGTGTTTGGCTACTTCAACTGACAAGAAAGACTCTGAGTGCCAAAAGAGCTGCCAAATTGAAAATCATAGATTTTCACATCCCACTAAGACTGGTGCAGGCCAGGATCATCACACAGAAACAGATCCTGTAAAACTCAGTGGGTTGTGGTTAGGAATTTTCCAGCTGGTAGTTAATCACATTGCTCCTCAAGCTGTACAAAGGTGCAACAGGAGACAAACTGCTGTGTTGCTGTAGGTCAGTTAAACTCCACCTCCTGCTGACTGAATTTCTGCCACCTGCACAAAGAGCTTCCTCCTGCCCCTGCACCATGAACAACCTGTGCCCTCCCCAGAGCTGGACCAGCTTCAGTTCAGCTGTAGAGGATGTTGAACAGCAATTGGCAATTTCCTTCCTAGATGCTGTTCCCACACAAGAACAACAGTACTTTTTAGAATATTATTTTTTCTG